AAAGCGACAAAGTTTTTTGCGGGAAAAGTATGGCGTGGGTGTAAGTTTAACAATTTCCTGGCGTTCAGATCGTGGGACGGGGCAAAGAGATATGTGAGCAGCAAAAAAAAAAACACCGAGAGGGTGGGTTGATCAATCAGCCAATCAGGGTACGCGACATATCTGAATTTTATTGTAAATAAAGGGACAATAAACAGTTTGGTTTTGTCGCAGCTCAGCATCCTATGCTTTTAGTTTTACAGGAATTCCAACTGGGAAACTATCGACAGTCGCCACCAACAAGTTATTGTTTCTCAAACATGAAGAGACAGGCCTTCCTGGGAAGACATTTTCAGTTTTGCTCCATGAAATTCATGCTGTTCTTTTTCCTGTCAAGCCTTGTTATCCAAGGTAGGTCATATAAGTCTTAATCAGGAGAAATCGGCTCCTGTATTAACATATTTTAATGTGCGTCATGATGTACTGGAGCTGAGAGGTAAGTTAAGAACTGTGTTAAAACCCATACTTCTTATCATTTTGTGGTTTGCTCTGTATTCTCCAGTATAACTTAAGTTTCATGGAGTTGAAGCAACAAATTCCTGACCTTACCCTTTTTGCCCATGAAAAGGCCAGTCTGTTTTAGCCTTAGGGCCTGGAAAAAGTTTCAAAGAGTCCATAAATCTGGTAAAAATTTTTAAGTGCATTTTCCAGAGTAATACAATTGTTGTTGTTAACAGATGTTCATGTCACATGCTTTTACTTACAAAAAAACTACAAAAGTTAATGAATTAAAAAAGAATTGTTGAAACTCTGTATGCCGGGTCTTTCAGACGAAATCAAAGTTGCTAACCTGACGATTTGTTGCGAAACGCGCTACGAAGCTGACGTCCGCAACTACCCATAGAGATTCCTGAGATTCTTAAGGTCAAGACATTTATGATACTTTATTTTGCCTACTGAAGAGGAGAACAAATACAATTTTTGAAAAAGGTCAACAAAGAGTAAGATTTTAAGATACACTACATCAGTTTTGTCTGTAAGGAACGATGTTTGGATCTTGGTCTTGGCTGTGTGAATTTTTGTTCGCTGAACACATATGCTGAATTAACCCCTTCGCGCCCAGACAAGTTATCGGGGGACGATTCTGTCACTTTAAATTAAAATATGTGGACCAAATCCTATGATGTTACCAATATGAACTGACTTCTTTGACAAAACGTTTGCATGGTGACGTAAATTAATTTTCTTGGGAGTCGAAAAAATTTTTTTCATATTCCACTATTCATTTGAGATGAAGAGGTTATTTGCGTTGTAAATTGTAGGAAGTTTTACTGTCGATCGAAGTGATTGCATAAAAGATATCAGACAGTACGTTACTCCAGCTATATAGAGTTTTGCAACATATGCTTTTATAGATCGTTCTAATAATAATAATAATAATAATAATAATAATATTTATAGAGGGAGCCCAACTCGCCAAGGCGGTTTTCAGTGGGCCCTCTGGATCAAATAGACCCACGTGTGCGACATGCACAGCAATTTCGCAAGACTCCTGTGTGAGATATTTTCTTATCTTTGATAAGTTTTTAAGACGATAAAACTTTACCAGGAGAATATAAAAGTAAGAGAAGATGACGAGAGGAGCGGGGAGGAGGCGATTATTTTAAATGTTTCCGTCAAAGGAGGGGGGGGGGGGGCGATAGGGGGGGGGGGGGGGGCGATTCCAGGGAGGCGATTAATCGAGGGACGGCTATTATTCGAGGAAATACGGTATGCAGTTTTAACATGAACAAAGACAACTGGGGAATATCAGTAAACGACGGTGCACATGGAAAAATTCTTGCGGGAAAAAACCTCTACTAGCAAGAAAAAAACCTCTGCTGGCAGGGAAAAAAGGTAGCAGGAAAAACGCCTGTACTAGCAGGATTAGCAGGTATCATTTTAATGAAGGTCATTCTACGCCAGGAAGATGATAAGAGAGAACATGCAGGAATCAGTCTGAATTGCGACTCACATTACTTCATATTGAGATAACAAGAAATGAATATGTGATAACTAAACATCACATAATTAAATTACACCCAGATATAGAAGGCCTAAAGGTGATTTCCACTATCGCGTATTTTTTCTGTGGGTACGTCAGAATCACGTTTACCTCAAATGGCAAAAGCGAATTTGTACCACGTGACAGGTTTCCCCTTTACTTGTCGTTTATTGATCATTATTTCTACTCATAAAATAGTAGTGTCACGCAATTTTTTGTCCATAAGAGTTGTTTTGAGCTGTTTTATCTGCTCATTTTCTATTTTGAAAGATTCTCATCTTGAATCAGACGTTTGCTGTTACGGGTGGCATTTCATGATTGCTGCTATTTCATTTGTACGTAAATTGGATCATGTACCGAAGAAAAAGTATTTACGTACGAGGAAGTTCTCATGTGGCCATGTGTCAGGGGCACCCAACGACAATATAGTTCAAAACCACTTCAACATAGCATTGTTAAACGTATTTTATTATTTAAACGGTAGATATAGGCATATTTTTATCCCCTAAGAATTTTTCATCTGTTCGGATTTTCTAGCTGAAAGTCTAGTGATCCGAAAATTCATAGCGATCCAAACTTACCTTTTCGAAAATTTTAGCGAGCAAAAAGGCTCCCGAAAATTCTAGGTGACCTTTTTAGGGTACAAATCCGTTAAAAATGGGCAATTATACCATCTTTTAGATGTTCGAAAATCCTAGGAGAGGCAGGCAAGCAAGAAATTTTACAACAAACGTACCGAAAATTCTAGATCTCAAATCGTCTTCCGAAAAGATATTTTCCAAAAATTGACGTTGAGTACCCCTGATGTGCACGTGATAGACAGTATCAGCAACGATTGTTATAGCCTCCCACCGGGGAGCTCGTATTAGGACGCCAAAACATGCACAGCCATGGGTATATTTCACTCCATGCGCATACCGAGTGGTAATCAACATTATATATTAAATTTTTCCAAGCTCAAATTTCAGCGATTTTTGAGGATTTTGTTCAGATCTGCGTAGAAGGTTTCCGTGCAGAGAAACCTTGCAAAGATGTTATCTCCAAAAAGTAACTCCACAGTCAAAATTATAATATAGTTTTGCTAATAAATCGCCAGACTATAGTAACCGCACGCACGAGGTACCCTAGCCTCCCACCTCCTCAAATGATAGATATTCTAGGCAATAAACAGATGTTTTATAGGAAACAGTCGTTGAGTACCCCTAACTCGGTGGGAGGTTTATGTCTTGGTCTCACCAAATCTACACGCGGTTGCTATCGGCAAGAAGCTACAAACCAATCAAAAACTAAAAACACTGGTTTGACGGCAAACCCAAACAAAGACTTAAAAAGAAACTTAAATAGCCAAGGTCAGCAAAGTGTAAGTCAAACATTTTGCAAGGCCAAAGTAACAAGAATGTTCAAAAATGCGCAGTACTGATTGGCGATGTAAGTATGAATTTCGTACGAAAAAATCAAAGATTAAAACAGGAAAGCATGGATAAAATATTGACAGCCTTGACCGCTAATCGGCTCCTGCCCTGACCTGCTTGATGAAACAAGGACGAACTTAAAAACAAACCAACAACAAAAAAAATTATATTTCTTTTTAGCTCCCGTTGAGGCTTTGTGTTGGAGACCGAACTATCGGGCAAATACACTTTACCAGTTGAATTTTCTTTATATATTTTATTCTATAACTCTTCTTGCTGTGAGGATCAGTTTACTGCAGTTTTTCTACTTGGCAAGTGTTCACTGATCCAGCTCACCCCGCCAGCATCCGGCCGGCTGTCCTCACTCAGTGGTTTGATCGATGCTGTGGTTTCGCCTACATACCGTTTTTACTCGAATAAGCGCCCAACCTCGAATTTGCGCCCACCTCGAATAAGCGCCCACCCCGAACCCCACGGAAACCCTCTCCTTCTGTACCTGCTTCTTATAAACGTTACGATTTCGGACATCGAGCTAGGAGGCAGCGCCAGAGAATTCACTTATTGACTTGAGTAACAATGAGATTGAAATAGAATTAAATTAGTACTAATAAGAGACTTTCCCGAAGTCGGAGTTTTCTTCAGCGTATTTTAAGGAAACCTTGTTTGTTTATGTACATCTTCGCGTTTTGTTTCAAAATAAACATGCTACAATCGCTGAAAATGGTAAAAATTTAATAAGCGCCCAGCCTCGAATAAGCGCCCATTCTCAAGGTCCAAAAATTTAATTAGCGTCCAGGGCAGTTAATCGAATAAATACGGTAATTGTTTATGAGGATCTACAGCAATTCAGTGAATAACCGTTTTAAAAAATGCGATAAAATCTGTTAGACTTCAAGAAAGCTATCTGCCTTGTTGATCAGTTGGAAAAAATACTTCCATCACGGAATTCTCCTCAAAAGATTCGTCCACAAGTAGACCACTTTTAAACACCTATTTTCAATCGACTCATTGAGCCCTGACAATTAATTCAGGAATGTTCTGCCAGCATAAGTGGACTTTAGTTGGCCCTAATCAGTAATCCTAAACAAAAAGAGCTAACAGAAAGCCTCAGTGCATTCCATTTAAATGAATGGCCTGAGCAAATAGCAAGTAAATAGTACCATGTGAAAGAAATGCTGACGAGGTTTTATTTGAATGGTTACACCATGGCGACACCATCCATACCCTGCAGGGTCTGACTCAAAAGTTAGAGCTGCATACTAAAATAAATAGAACCATGTGAAAGTCGCTAAAGAGCTTTTTCAGTTGAATTGTAACACCATAGGATTTCATCCACAAACTCAAAAGTTAGAACTACATACTAAATAATATAAACAGTACCATGTGAAAGTACTGCTGCTGTTTTTAATATTTTGCAAAGAAATGTTTTAACGCTTTTTTATACAGACGTCTCGCCTGCAAGCATCAAGAGTTGTGAACTACGAGCTTCCTGCTCAAGTGAGTGTCAATACTCCACTCAGAAGACAGTGAATCCAAACTCTAACGCAATTGTAGGGTGCTCGATCATGAATAAAGGACCAACACAAGACTTGACCCGGGAACAAGTTAGAAAAGGATCAACACAAGACTTAACCTGGGAACAAGTTAGACGAGAGATTCATGGCAGCAACAATGTGTATGATCTGGTGCTACAGCAGCAAGAGAATCCACATTGTTCGTGCACTCACATAACCCTCGCACGTAAGTACAACTTTCTCTAGAGTTTTGTCTTTATCTCGTGAATAAAATGTACAGGAATCTCATCATCTGCCATCTTTTGTATTCTTAATGCGATAGAAACAACAGACTCACGTACCTTGACCGGTACGTACGTTTTAACCTGTTCGTTATGCTCTAGTCTAATTTAATCGGTTTTAGTTATTTTTAGGTGGATGATGTCATAGTTTTTATTAATTATGTGCGTCATATCGTTATGTGGGTATGATGTCATTGGTTATTTGTATGGGGCTCTTGTTTGGGTATGATGCTGTCTGAGCTGCGTTTTGATTGGTGGACATCTCTCAGGAAGCAATTTGGTTGTGTTGGTATCTCAGGGTCTCAATGGGGTTAACCGATAGGCGTAAAACGGTCCAAAATTTAGTCGATAGCCGTAAAAATTGAAATACTTCAACCGTTAGCTGTAAATAGGGTAAAAAGAGTTAACCGTAAAAATATTTTGCTCCTTAGATTTGAAAAATTTTAGGAACGTGCTAAACTCACTTAGAACGGTTGTGTTTCTTATTTCGCGGCTACTTTGACTCTTTACGTTCCCGTTTCTACTATAGTTTTGCTTTTCACAAAGATTTTACTCAAATAAGTTATTTTAAGAGAATGAGAAAACTGCGGCAAAGATCTTCAAAGCCGCGTACTTCTCAGCTTGGCTCCGACACTAGCCTGAATGTGACAGGGGCACCCAACGGCAATTTTCGGGAAAATATCTGTTCGGAAGACGATTTGAGATCTAGAATTTTCGGAGCATTTGTTGTAAAATTTCTTGCTTGCCTGCCTCTCCTAGGATTTTCGAACATCTACAAAATGGTATAATTACCCATTTTACACGGATATTTACCCTAAAAAAGACCACCTAGAATTTTCGGGAGACTTTTCCTGGCTGAAATTTTCGAAAAGGTATGTTTTGATCCCTATAATTTTCGGATCACTAGACTTTCAGCTAGGAAATCCGAACAGATGAAAAGTTTTTAGGGGATAAAAATATGCCTATATCTACCGTTTAAATACTAAAATACGTTCAACAATGCTATGTTACTTGGTTTTGAACTATATCCTCGTTGGGTGCCCCTGATGTGAGAGTCACAGAAATGTTCGAGTCTCAATCTGTATGCTTGTTCTTTTTTAGTCCACGTTGTACAATCTGTTCTTTAGTGGGGTAAAGACCCTATCGTGGTAGTAAATAGAGAAGAGGGCAGCAAATACGAAGCGACGCGAAGAACGAATCAGTAGCCACTGAAGAAAAGGAAATCACGCCAAGATGCAAAAGATGACAAACTTTTTCATAGTTAACATTTCTATGCGTAAAATGATGTTAGAAATGGAATACTCTAAAAGCATGATTTATGAAATATTAAAAATTTTCAGAAGAATAACTTATTTCATCCCGAGATGATCCTAAGACATTTACTTTGCTTTAAAGATACAACAAAATACAGGTTTATTAATTTTGAAATTAAGAAATTAATTTTTAACTTTATAGTTAAGCATAACTAAAACAAAATTAACCTATAGCCGTAAAAGAGCCAAAATTTTAGCCGATAACCGTAAATGCCACCACCCCATTGAGACCCTCGTAGTTAGCTAAGGGTCTGAGCTTGACGATGAGACCAACCAAGACGGCAAGTCTGCTATGAAAATTCTCACCGCTGGGGATATTCTGGGCCTTTTTGAGGAAAGTTTTCAAAAATTCGGCTACATGTATATTATATGCGATCAAAGGACTGCGATGGTTCACGATTTTTCCGTGGAGCGTTCATGGGCGGAAATAATTTTGTTTTCAATCCAGAAGCTAATTCCTTGTTGTTTCGCGAATTCTTGCCTTGACTAAAACAACATCATTGTATGATGCCTCGGAAATTAAGGAAATCAAATAATTCATTAACGTTTATTACTGACCATGACGAAAATAGTTTCAATCAGCAACAACGTACAATAAGCTTTATTATCATTACTATAACAAAGTATTACAGTATTGCAAAAGCTACTTGAATTTAATCATTGATTCCTTTTTAAATTAAATATTTAAAATATTAACTTTAAATATAATAATCATTGCTTATTTTCAACCATTAGTAGGATTAATTATTCCGATCATTTGCTGATAAGACTGAGTGTCAAATCAGCCATTGCAAAGCTATCTTTTCAGAAGCCCATTACTTTACCAAAGAACAATAACCAGCCAAAAAGACATACATTGGCTGGGATAGTGACTTTCACTCGGATAGTAGGTTTGTCAAGATCGAGTTCCTGTGGAGGTTTGTGTTAGTTAATGAAAGTTTGGATCAGGGTGCAAAGAAAACCATTTTTACAGCTTGCCATTCGGGCAAGCTGAAGCTAACATTTACTAGCCCAGACATCATTTCAACTAGCCCCAGAAACGTTTTGATGAACAGATTGATTTCACAGTTCTTCTGTAATTTGAATTCCTCAAAAAACTTCACTTGCCCGTCGGGCAAGTTAATAGCAGAATTCATTAGCCCCGGGTTATCGGACACTACTTTCTATCAATTTAGGTCTCTGGGAAACTGCCCACCTACCCCTCCCCGAAGCTAACATTAACACTTACTTCTAGCTTAGGGCAAAATGATGGCTAAGGGGAGGGGTAGGTGGGCGAAATTGCGATTGTTTGATGAAATAAAGAATTTCCCTGTTTATTCTTTCCTTTTTACGCGATAGATGTGTCACCCACAGGGACCCTAGACTGTGAAATAAGTGCACAGGAATGTCGACCTCCTTTGGAGATAAAAACCCTTACAGTAACGCCGAAAGACTCTAAAGTGAATTTCAACTGCTCGATTAAGACTGGGGGAAAAGTACAAGACATGACCTGGCAGCACCTTGAAAAACACCTTAATGCCAGTGACGCCGGTCTGTTCGTACAACGCATCGATTCAAAGAATAGAAGTCAGCCACGTGAATGTTTTTCTATAAAATACGCCAGTGAGTATGTTCTTCTTTTGCCCTGTCTGTATCCAATTGATGGGGAGAAATATATCATAATGCGGCCATCAGTTCTTTTGTGTGTGTCTTATTTTTTAAATGGATTATAACGAATCCTATGAATGCCTCGTAACAGGTTTAGGTAGATTCAAGCTTAGCTGAGGCAATTTTTACGGTTGGGTTGATCGTAAAATCACGGTTGAAGTTATAGCCAGCTAAATCACCTCACTTGAACATGGTTCGCCCGCTAAACTCTGGTTGCTCCTGCCATGCTGGAGGGCAAGCAAAGCAAAGGGACATGACAAACAACAAACAAAGGAATCATTTTGAAAGACGTTAGCTTTTTGTTTGGCTTGACTCAGTGCGTAGGGCCTCGCTCTCTAGCATGGCAGGTTTGTGCCACAAAAGTGACTTACTGCAAAGGGCCTATTTAAAATGAACAAGGCATGGAGTAAAACATGGTTGGTTGGAAGGTGTCGGTAAGAGAGATGACTGTAGTTATCTTAAAAATCGTGAGCAAAGCAACGACGACGGCAGTGAAGATGTCGCTAAAAAATTAAATCTGCCATATTTCAACTGTTATCGCGTCTATTTGGAGCTGCTAAATTTGTCAAATGTAGACGATTTCTCTTGGAGTTGAATTCTTAAGAACTTTATTCAGGATCAGAAAGAAAAAGGAGAATTCGTCGTCGTATGTTCACTTTCTCTATAAAACGTTGTATTACTAGGTTTCACTTCATAGTCGTGCAGTCAACGTCAAAGAAATGTACTATAAGAAGCTTGACGCATGTGCAGCAATTGTTGTTTTCATGTTAAAACCAATTGTTTTTTGACGTCCTGGTGGTTCAGATTTTCACTTTTCAGATGTTGATATTTTTTTTTGTACTAATTCAAAAGGTAGCTTTAAAAATTACAAATATATCACAAAAACAACGAGAAGAAAACCAGCAAATTACATAAATCCTGATCAAAGGTGAAATGTGCGCAGTGGCCAAAGGAGCTTAGGCTTTCGAGTTGGTCACTTAAGCTCCCTGGTTTAAATGACTGGGTGCATGACTTATGAGCTTTGAAATTAAGACGAAGAATTCCTTCTCAGTTCCAGTTAAGAGAGTATCTAAGACAAGTTCTTCCGTTGACTACTATCCTGACACGAGAGAAATGGAACTGCAGTGTACCTTCAAGGGATGGCCTCGTCCTCGTGTAGTTTGGTACAATCCAAGTAACAAACAAATCATCGACGGATCTGAAGGTTTTTACATCTCAGAGCAGCTGTATCGAGAGGATACCTTAATTTCCCTTCTCCGTAATGCTGATATCCAAGAAAAACACCGAGGGGCTTATAAATGCACTGGAATGAACAACATTACCAACTGGTCGAGTGAAAAATCAGGGTATATTGACCTGAATTATCGCTGTGAGTCATTTAATTTCTTATTTCTAATACAACACACGGATTCGCAAAACTACCTCCTTTGAAGCAGGTTCATAAAAAACATAATACCATGTTTCCCCTGTAAGCAATGGAAAGTATCCCATTAAGACTAAGAGGGACAGCTCATTCCCTCTTGATTTAGACGGAATTAAATATTGGCTGGTTTATATTTCAAACAACAGATTAACTTATTATTGCTAACTGAATTTAAAAAATGTAACTGAAAATTTCGTGCCACCTTCCTCCTCCATTTAGAATAAATGGACGCTGGAATTTTTGTTTGTTTACCCCTCGGGTCACAAGGGATAAGTAAATAAGTAAATAACAATTTAGTGGCGCTAGCTCATCCACAAAGTGGTTCTTTGTCTACCATTCTGGCTCAAATTTACCCTGCGCAGCTGGCGGGATTAACGTGGGAGTGATGTGTTGTTTTGGTGGCAACGGCGGAATAAGGGTGAGAACCAACAAAACTCAACCTGGCCGGCCACATCTGATGTTGCCTGAAGAATCAAGCACAGGACAGTCATTAATTATAATGAGAGGGAAGTGTTCTCACCTGCAATTCAGTAGAACTTCTATATAACGAAGTCCTCGGTATAATTTACAATTATTCCACTAATTCCACGAGTGTGCGTTAGATATAAATGGTAGGGGAGCCAACGAGACGAGTAGCACCGAGTTGGCTTTAATCATCTCATATCCAACAAGTGCGAGTGGAATAATTATTCTATTAAAAACGCCCACAAAATATCGAGAATTCTTCCCGACTTTATTTGTAAACCAACCCATTTTCATCTTGTTTTTAATTTTGAGCTGACGCGTACAGTTACCATATTTAAAGAGCATGGTATACCGGCTCATATACCATGATGGCTAAGCCAATCAGAGCTCTAGAATTGCATTATCCAATGATTCAATTTTTAATAATAAGCGATATCCTCCTCCCCAGAAATAATAGAGTCAAGCCCCGCAAATTCCGACACTGAAAGGGCCGTACTAAGAAAGTGCCTGTATTAACGGGCTGACCTTATTAAGCGAGTAGAAAATGTAAGGGATTTCTGTCCCCAGGGACAAAGCAAACTGTCCGTAACAATGAGATGTCTGTATTGAGCGGGTGTCCGTATTGGAGCGGGGTTTGACTGTACAATAAATAAAAGGAACTTCGATATAACAAAACCTCTTTATGGTGAGCATATTTTGCCAGTCCTTCAGGTCTTCGTTTAGCTGTTCGTCACATCAAGATTCCAATGGAAACTGTTGTGTGGTTGTTAAATGAGAAAAGGAGACGCCGAATAGCTATTGAAATCAACACTTAGTCAGGGGAGTCAACGTCAATTTTCGGAAAATATCTGTTCGGAAGACGATTTGAGATCTAGAATAATCGGAACATTTTTTGTAAAGTTTCTTGCTAGCCTGCTTCTCCTAGTATCTTCGAACATCTAAAAATGGGTAAAAATGCCCATTTTTAACGGATTTTTGCCCTAAAAATGGTCACCTAGAATTTTCGGGAGCCTTTTTTCTGGCTGAAATTTTCGAAAAGGTAAGTTTTGATCCCTATAATTTTCGGATCACTAGACTTTCAGCTAGGAAGTCCGAACAGATGAAAAATTTTTAGGGGATAAACATACGCCTATATCTACCGTTTAAATACGAAAATACATTTAACAACGCTATGTTTAAGCGGTTTTGAACTATATTCTCGTTGGGTCCCCCTGCTTAGTAGCACAGGCCATATTGGTGGGAGGTAAGAGAAGTGGGGTTCATCCGATTAACCGATCGTTAGAGCATCTCTAAAGTCGGCCTGACGAGACAAGTCGCAAAAGGGGAAACCAGTGGAATAAACAAAATCAATACGTAAAAACTCCAAAGCGTTTTGATGCCCTATATATTGTCACAAATACTCAGGAGGGGAGGGTAAGAGTAAGAAGGTTACCCCTTACGGTTGCACAAAAAATGGTAACCATTTTCAAATAATATTTACTCATCATATCTTCTAATCATCTAATACAGGTATCATCCAGGCTCCGCAGATTTCTTCTCCCCAGGTTTCGGTGACAGCCTACTTCAATGTCAGTTTAAAGTGCTTAGTGACTGTTAGGACAAGCGACTGTTGGGACAATTCATTACGGTGGTATTTTAACAACAACTCAGCGAAATTAGAGTCTGGTGAAAAGTATAATATACAAGAAAGGAAAACCAACACCAGATGCAAAGCAGATTTCATTCTCACCATTATTAACGTTACTGAAGCAGACGAAGGAAAGTATAAATGTCAGTGGCTCTGCGACCGTGACTACCCCAGCTTTTCCAGGTCTTCAATTATCCAGCTGAAAGTATTTCCTCCTTCAGAAGAAGGCACTGATACTCCTGTGATATCTAAAGGTATTGTATCACGAAATTTATCAAAATTCAAAAAGTGGAAAACGCCACCAGATTGAGTGAAACATTAAAATAACCGCTCAAAACCCCGGTGAGAGTGGGTACTTGGGTACTAAAAAGTTTTGCTGGGTATGTGCCGCTGGCCTCTCAGAGCCTATACCCCATTATAGTCTATTCTGTGGCCAATTATAGACCCCATCTTAGTCACTTTTGGGCAAATATGTAATTTTCGCGATCCCAAATTAGTCACTTTCTACTTTTATGAATTGAACCATTTTTCAGATTGAATGAAGAACACTTTACTTTTCATCTGCAGTACAAACATTCTGGTACGTTTGCTAACCGTAAATATGGAGAACTGTCTTACCCCCGAAAAATCCGAAAATGTACTACCCCGTTTATTCAATCCAGTCTTGAAAATGGGACCCCATCCAGCGGCACATCCCCATTAGCCTCTTATAAGGAAGTACTCCGCCCACCCCCCTCGGGCTCAAAACAGTAACACAGCAAATGCAAAAAGAGTCATGTCATGTGAGGACAAGCTTGATATTAACTGGTTTTTTTCATTAGAAAACGGAGAATCAAATCCGAAGAATAACTCGCAATTGTATAACAGTAATTTTATTCGATCTGAAATCAAATTGTACAAATATATTCTATTTAATAAGTGTAATCAAATAATTGATTCATGAAAATAGAAAAAACGGAATAAGTGCCGATAAAAGCTAAAAGTTGATACAAGCGAAGTCACGTGGTTTTGAAGGAAGCAAACTCAATTTAAGCTACTTCAATTCTGTTTAGAAGGTAACGAAAGAAAGACTAAATTAACAAAACGAAGGTAACATACAGTTCACTTACTTCTATAGTGAGTTTTCTTAAATGTCCTCGAATAAGCATTAAATCGGTCCGGGTAGCAGGTAAACTGTTAACACTTTGATCCTTGCCGTGCGGCGGTCGGTAAAAAACTTATAAAAACTCGAACAAAGCGGGTACTTTTGTGCTTCCTGTTGGGCGTTTACATTTTCCTACTTTTGCCAGCAAGATTAAATATAAAAATTCCTTGAATAGTTCTTT